ATATAAATATTAACAATATTGAATTTTCTAATCTATAAACATGGTATATCTCTCCATTTATTTAGATCTTTAATTTTTCTCAGTAGTGTTTGGTAGGTTTCAGTGTACAAGTGTTGCACATATTTTGTTACATTTATTTCAGTATTTCATATTTTGATGTTTATAAATGGCAGTTTTTTCACAAACTTTTAATTTTGGAATAATTTTAGATTTATAGGAAAGTTTCAGTAAATGATAGTTTTTTTTTTAACTGTGTCCAGTTTTTCATTACTAGCATAAAGAAATACAGTAATTTTTTTGTACATATATCTTGTATCCTGCAGCTTTGCTAATAACTCACTTATTTGGTTTAGAAGTGGGTTTTTGGGGGTAGATTAGCTAGGGTTTTTTACATAGATAGTCATGTTGTCTGCAAATAATCAGATTTACTCCTTCCTTTCAATTCTTTATTGCTTTCATTTCTTTTTTGGGTGTTATTGTTAGGGCTAGGACCTCCAAAACAATGTTGAATAGATGTTATTGAAGTGGAGGTACTTGCCTTGTCTCTATAGGGAAAGTGTTTAGTCTTACACCATTAAACATTATTTTCATAGATACCCTTCTATTCCTAGTGTGTTTACAGCTTTTATTGAATGGGTAGTGAGTTAAGTTAAATGCTTTTTCTGAAACTGTTGAGATAATCATGTTTTTTTTTCATTCTGTTATAATACAGTGAATTACATTATTGGTTTCAAGTGTTAAGCCAAGCTTGCAATCCTGATTAAACTACACTTAGCCATTCTGTAATATCCTTTTTATATATTGCTGGATTCAACTTGATAATTTTTAAAGAGTTTTTGCATCTATGTTCATGAAGAGTATTAGTTTATAGCTTTCTTTCTTGGTCAGATTTTGGTATCAGGGTAGTGCTGGCCTCATAAAATAAATTGGGAAATATCCCCCTCTCATTTTTTTCTATAAGAATTTGTGCAGAGTTGGTACTATTTTTCCACTATGTATTTGAAAGATTTTTTCAGAGCCTGACATTTTCTTCGTGAGAAGGTTTTTAACTACAATTTTAATGTATTTAATAGATATGGGGATGTGAAAGTATTTCTTTTTGTGTGAAATTGGATGATGTCTTTCTTTCAAGAAATTTACTTGCATACAGTTCATAATATCCCCTTCTAAACCCTGTAATGTTTGTAAGATTTGTGGTAATGTCCCTGCTTTCATTTCTGATATTGATGATTTTTGTCTACTATTTTTTTCTGGTCACTCTGGCTATAGTTTTACTACTTTTCTTGGTCTTTTCAAAGAACCAGGTTTTAGGTTCTTTTTTTTTTCCTGCACTTGTATTTATATTATTCCCTTTCTTCTGCTTACTTTTTAAAATTTCCTTCTCTTCCTAGTTTCTCTTTTTTTTTTTAAGATTTTATTTATTTATTTATTTGAGAGAGAGGGAACCAGAGAGAGCACAAGCAGGGGAAGAGGGAGAGGGAGAAGCAGACTCCCTGCTGAGAAGGGATTCCTAACATGGGTTTCAATCCCAGGACCCTAGGATCATGACCTGAGTGAAAGGCAGACACCCAACCAACTGGGTCACCCAGGCGCCCCCTCTTCATAGTTTCTTAAGGTGCATCTTAGATCATTGACTCTAGATCTTTTCTAATGAAAGCATTTGATGCTATAAAGTTCCCTTAAGTACTGCTTTAGCTGGAGCTCCATAAATTTTAGTAGGCTGTATTTCCACTTTGATTTCGTCTGGAATTTTTCAAAATCTCCTTGTGTTTTTTTTTCTTCTACATATGGATTATTTAGAACAGTATTATTTAATATGCAGGTATTTTGAGAATTTTCCGGATATCTCTCTGTTGTTGACATTTAGTTTAATTTCATTGTGTATGGAGATTTAATTTCTATGACTTTGATCCTTTTAAATTTGTTGAGTCTTGTTTTATGACCCAGATTTCAGTCTGTCTTGATGAGGCCTTCTCCTTCCTTGCCTCTCCTCAGCCTGCACGTGCATTTGGAAGGAATGTGTATTTTGCTGTTGGAGGAGGAATGCTTTATCAGTATCAGTTAGGCTATGTTGGTTGATAGAGTTATTACATTCTTGTGTATCCTTAGTAATTTCTGTGTGTTCTGTCAGTTATTGAGATGTGTTAATTTTCAATAATTGTGGATTTTTCCATTTTTCCTTAGTATTTTCTACATGTGTCGAGAAGTTTTGTTATTAGGTACACAAATATGTAGTTGTTAGATGCTTTTTGACAAATTGACCTCTTATCATTATGAACTGCCCCTATTTGTCACTGGTAATATTTCTTGTTCAAAAACACAACTTGTCTTATTTTGTGACAGGCAGAGTGGCCCCCAAAGATATCCAGGCCTTAAGCCCTGGAACCTCTGACTGTTGTATTACATGGTAGGGGGTACTTGGCAGAAGTGTCTAAGGTTATAGAACTAGTTTCTATTGCTTCCATGACAAATTAGCACAGATGTAGTGTTGTAAAACGACACAGAACTTATTATCTCACATTTCTGTGGGTCAGAAGTGTGGGTATACCAGGGCTAAGTTGAATTTTCTGCTTGGAGTCTCACAAGGCCAAAATCAAGGTGTGGACTGGGCCGCATTCCTTTCTGGGGCTCTGGGGATTAATCTGCTCCAGACTCTTTTGGGTTGTTGTCAGAATTTAGTTCCTTACAGTTGTAGGACTAAGAACCCCATTTTTCTTGCTGGCTGTTGGCAGGAATCATTCTCAACTTCTAGAATCTGCCTGCATTCCTTGGCTCATGGCTTCCTTCCTCCATCTTCAAAGCCAGCAAAAGCAGGTTGAATCCTTCTCATGTTTAGAATTTTTCTGACTTCCCCTTCTGCCTCATCTCTCCTCTTCTGCTGGGTCTCTCTGACTCACTTGTAGGCCTCCTTTTTCTGCTTTTAAGGATTCATATGATTACATTGGGCTCACCTGGATAATGTGGGATAATCTCCCTATTTTTTAAAAGATTTTATTTATTTTTGAGAGAGAGACAGTGAGAAAAAGAGGGAGAGAGCACAAGCAGGGGAAGTGGCAGGCAGAGGGAGAAGGAGAAGCAGACCCCCATCAATCAGGAATCCCGATGTGGGGCTTGATCCCAGGACCCTGGGATCTTGACGAGAGCCGAAGGCAGATGCTTAACCAACTGAGCCACCCTGACGCACTAATATCCCTATATTAAGGTGACCTGATTGGTAACCTTAATTCCAACTACAAAGTCCTTTCATATTAGTACCTAGATTAGTGTTTGATTAACTAGGAGACAGGAATTTGGAGGAACACCTTTAGAATTCTGCCTATCACAGTTCTGCACTTGATAGGAACAGTATCCTGGATTACCCAGGTGGACCCAGTCTGTCACATGAGCTCCTCTAAGCAGAGAGCTTTCACTGGAAGCAGGAGCAATGTGGCAGAAGTCAGAAGAATTCTAAGTGTGAGAAAGATTCCATATGCTATTGCTAGCTTTGAGATGCAAAGGCTTATGTGCAGGGATCAGAGAGGGTCTCTGGGGTCCAAGAGCAGCCGCAAGCTGACAGCACATGAAGAAACTGAGACCTCAGTCCTACAGCCACAAGAAACCAAATTGCCGGCAACCCGAATGAACTTGGAAGCAGATTCTTCCCAGGATCCCTTGATAAGAGCCCAGCCGACTGACGTCTTGGTTTCAGCCTTATAAGCATCTGAGCAGCCAAACCAACCAAGCTTGTCTGGACTTCTGACATATACAACTGTGAGATAATACATTTGTGGTGATTCATTAAAGCAATAATAGAGGACTAGAACAGGTGTTAATATGCCACTCCAGCTTTCTTTTGTTTAGTGCTTGCTTGATATAACTTTTTCTCTCCTTTCAGTTTTAATCTGTGATTTTATAAATAGATGAAGTGTGTTTCTTTTTTTTTTTAAAGATTTTATTTATTTATTTGACAGAGATCACAGGTAGGCAGAGAGGCAGACAGAGAGAGAGAGAGGAAGGGAAGCAAGGCTCCCTGCTGAGCAGAGAGCCCGATGCGGGACTCCATCCCAGGACCCTGGGATAGAGAGCCCGATGCGGGACTCCATCCCAGGACCCTGGGATCATGACCCGAGCCAAAGGCAGAGGCTTTAACCCACTGAGCCATCCAGGTGCCCCAGGAAGTCCCTTTTATGTGAAACGTGAGTGTGCATGTATAATCTGTTCAGTCACAGAAAGTATAATATGGGTACTAAAATGTTACTGTATCTGAACACGGCAGATTAAAGATGCCATACTGGGGCGCCTGGGTGGCTCAGTGGGTTAAAGCCTCTGCCTTCAGTTCGGGTCATGATCTCAGGGTCCTGGGATCGAGTCCTGCATTGGGCTCTAGCCTGCTTCCCCCTCTCTATCTGCCTGCCTCTCTGCCCACTTGTGAGCTCTGTCTGTCAAATAAATAAAATCTTTAAAAAATAAATAAAAATGCTATACCTTTTAAAAAATAAAATCAAATGATTAGCTGGTGACAAAACTTGACCATATCTTAAACATGTCAGCCTTTTTCAGTCTCCATGTTTTAGTACATCTAGTTCCTTCTGCTTGGAATGCTCCTCTCACAGTCTTTCTTGCCGAGCAGCTTTCCACATATCTTCTGGAACCAGCTCCAGGGGCATCACTTAACCTGCTTCTTCGAGTCCCCAGACAGAATCCAGATTTCTTCTTCTGGCTTCCCATCACACTCTATCCTTGCTCTATTCCAGCACATACCATGATGTATTATAATTCTATGTTTCTGTACGGCCTCCCTCCTACCAGGAAGCCCTGGAAAGCAGGGAACTTATTTTAGTCTCCTTTATGTTTCGCTAATCCCCTAACATAGTATGTCTATGACATAGAACTTTTTAATACACGATGTTGAATTAGTGACTCTTTACACATGCTCAAAAATACTGCTGTTATGACTCTCCATTTCAGTATCACATATTTGTAAAAGTGAGTCTTCTTTAATCATTTTACTTTTCTCCTAGTAAATTCCTCATCTACGCCTGTCTCCTGCTATTCTCTGTGCTGCTGGCCCTTCGTCTGGATGGCATCATTCAGTGGAGTTACTGGGCTGTCTTTGCTCCAATATGGCTGTGGAAGTTGATGGTCATTGTTGGAGCCTCAGTTGGAACCGGAGTCTGGGCACGAAATCCCCAATATCGGTAATACTGCTTTATATAACTCATTGACCTCTACCCCAATGGAACAGTGTCTTGTTTTTCACTTTTGATTAAGTAAGGACTATTTTTTTCTGCCTATCTGTGGTTTTATAGGAACTATAATACAAGCAAACTGGGTTCTGTTCTAAGTTTTTTAAAAATTAGGGGTTTGATAAGCATTTTTAAATAAAAACAGTGTCATCTGGGGTGCTTAAGATCCTAGCCAGCCCACAAAAGCCAGTGTAATCGAAAATGCATCTAAAATATCGAACTGTTGCACCATGCTAGGCTAGGAAGCATAAAACTATCATGTTTGCAGGAGCAGTCCTATAAAACAGAAGCCTGGCTTTGGTCATCAGGGATCTGTCTGTCTCCTGTTTTGTCCTGGAATTGGGGTTCCCCTTGTCCCAATCTCCTAGTCCTGGGGTTTTAGGACCGTTAGTGGTATGTATGTTGGGGGGTAGCTTGGCCAGGAAACAGTGAGTCAGTGAGCCAGGAAAAGAGGAGGCCCAGATGCTGTGAAGGAGAACAGAGCCTTTGGGGGCCAGGCAGAGGGGTAAGTAAGCTTTACCTTCAACACCCCCATGCCTTTCTTCTCGGCTGCCTCAGCTCGTTCAGGTTCCTAGAGTTGGCTCAGCTCTGGAAAACAGCCTAGTACTGCTGGGGCCCGAAGAGTCTCTGCCCCCTCGCAGAGGTTGGCACTTCAGAAAGGGAAAAGGGAACCTTGAGGGGCTGTCCTCAGCGTTCAGCAAGAAGACAGGGTGGGGAGGAGTGCCTGGTGGGCAGGTGGGACGCATGCAGCTGCTCACGTGGGAGAAGTGCAGATGTTTCGATCTTGACTAGCTTTAAAAATAAGAGTTAGCCCATGTCACATACATAGCCACATGTGTATCTAAGAACTTTAAAATAGTCCAACAGAGAGCCTTGGCAGATGGGGGACATTTGTGTGTAACTGTTTTAAAGTCCTTAGACTTTCCTATTTCTTTTTTAAGATTACCTGTGCAGCTGACAGATCTTTTCTTTTTTATAAAATATTTTCAGATACCTAATATTTTTGTCTCAAAGAATGAAAAGTTAAATAACTAAACCATTTAGGGTCCACTAATTGATACTGAGAACCTATTTGAGCTTTGCCATATTGGTTTAAGTTAAGATTTTTTAGAGGGAGGAAAGGTTCTGTGTGTGTAGTTGAGTGTAGTGAGTGTGGAGGCGTGGTCATTCAGTGTTCACATTCTCCGGTGGACTGTTGCTAGGTCCTGTACGGGTGACCACTGGTTTCATTTTCTCTGTGTCCTAACCTCGGGTGTATTTATCATCAGGAATATACATCATAAAATGTTTATCTGTATTTTGAATGAAACACTGTAGACCTTCCAAATGCATTTTTAAGCATTTTCCTGATTAACGGCCTAATTTTTCAGTTGTTAATCTGATAAGTTCCTGCATGATACTTTAAACAGCTAATTAAACTGATTTTGTTTAGAAACAGTTTTAACTGCTCTTCCTTCTCTTTAATCTGCAGGTGTTAATTCATCTTCATGGAATAGAAAGGAAAATATAAAGATGTTCATAATTTTATCAGTATTTTTAAATAGCACCTAAACAATAGTTACTATATATTCTTGAAATATAACCCACAGCTTATTAAAAAAAAGCCAGTTACTTTTATAGTATTGCATGGAATGTGATTTACATGGTTTTTAATTTATTAAGAGATGAGGATCTTGAGATTTAAGGGATATTTGTCTGTTTTTAGTAGTAGAAGCAATCAGCTTGAATCATCTTGGAAGTAGTTGAATTTAAAGTTATGAATAAAAGCATTTATGTTGGGGTGTCTGGCTGGCTCAGTGGGGTAAGCCCCTGCCTTTGGCTCAGGTCATGATCTCAGGGACCTGGGGTCGAGCCCCACATCGGGCTCTCTGCTCGGCGGGGAGCCTGCTTCCCCCCTCTCTCTCCCTGCCTCTCTGCCTACTGTAATCTCTGCCTGTCAAATAAATAAATAAAATCTTTAAAGAAAAGCATTTATGTTTACTGTCAGGGAAGGAATAACTCCGGCTGTTACTTCTGAGAATGTCGTTATCCAGTTAAAACTTTGGTTTGGCTGTGATGTTCCTTTACCGTCATGTAATAATTTGTGGCATTTGAGAGATTGCCTACTAAAGATTAAGTTTGCTTTCTACCTAACTTCCTCTGCTTTTTGTCACATTGATAAATACCGCTTACAGCATCAACATAAGTTGGTCTTTGCCCTGGACGACCTGCCTGTTTTGGAGATTCCGAACTGAGTAGTTTTCTCCTTCTTCTGATGTCCCTTTGCAGAGCAGAAGGAGAAACATGTGTGGAGTTTAAAGCCATGTTAATCGCCGTGGGCATCCACTTGCTCCTGTTGATGTTCGAAGTTCTGGTCTGTGACAGGATTGAGAGGGGAAGCCATTTCTGGCTTCTGGTCTTCATGCCACTGTTCTTCGTCTCCCCGGTGTCCGTTGCAGCTTGTGTCTGGGGCTTTCGACATGACAGGTCACTGGAGGTGAGATTTCATGCATTTAAGAAGGTTTTAAAAAGTCAAATCTTTTGGTCTGTTATTGTAATATAGATTTCTTGTCCTTCATTAGGAAGAGATAAGTCATTAACTCTAGATTATGGTGTGTAAGGAAACAGAAGCTGATGGGAATAATCGTGGTTCTCTCTTTTGACTTAGAAGGCAGGCTTTTCACCCAAGCCCTCAGGCTCCATCCAGCTCCAGCTCCGCGGTTTCCCCTAGCCGCCTGCGTGGGTCAGGCTTCCCCTAGAGACGGGGCCAATGGGAGAGGTGGGGAATGGGAGAAGGGAGGGAGAAAGGAAGAGAAAGAGGGGGAGGGAGAGCATGACTGATCACTTCTGTGGAGCTTGGCTCACACACTTGTGGGGCTGCCAGGTCTGAAATTCATGGGGCGGACCAGCCAGCAGGAGATGCGGCCTGAGCTGGTGCCGCCGCCCTGAGACGGAGTCTCCAGGAAACCTCAGGCCCTCTAACTCATTTGATGAAGCCACCCAGTACCGAGGGTGATCTTTACCAGAAGGCAGTCCTTCCACTGCAGTACCTAGATTCGTGCCTGATCCGGGAAGGGGTCCTGTGTGGGCCCAGCCAGTGGGCCCCGCAGAGCCGGGGTCTGGTGCTTTGTCTGCTCTCTCATTGGCTTCAAGCCCGACACAGGGCAGACACGACTGAATACTGAAGCAGTGCGAGCAGCCCTAATACTAGGATCGGAAATGAGTGCAGGCCACGTTGGCCGAGCCCTCACTGTGCGCCAGGCACCCGGCTGGTCCCTTCCCGCGCAGCAGGGCCTTCGTAGAGGGGCACCACCACCCCGCGAAGCAGGTGCAGCGGCCACCCCTGTTTTGTGACGGGGAAGGGATCTGTTCCTGGCCATTCGTTCAGGGGCAGGGCCGGGGCCAGGACCCCGCGTCCGTCAGCCTGACTCCAGAGCCTGCCCGCCGACCCGCATGGAAGCTGAGGGCCCAAAGCCCTCTACAGATGGGGCGAGGGGAGACCTGGATGCTAGGGAGGCTCTGTTCTCAGCTGGGTGAGTAACAAGCAGAGGAAGGAGAATGGCTGTGGGGCTGGAAGGCTCCCGGAAAGAGGGCGGGTGAGAGAGCAAGGCTCCGTGGGAACCCATGGGAACAGGACCCTGAGTGCCAGGACGCTTGGTCTTCACCGGGGAGAGGGCACGGGCATGGGGGTAGTGTGGCTGCTCTGCTGCCATCTGAGGGCCCACTCTCCCCTCCCTGCCCTTCCCCCAGCCTTCCACAGCCCGGCCACTTGTCTGCAAGGCTCCTCTGGCTGCTTGCCAGTGGGAGGAACGCTATCATGAAGGAGTACAGTTAAGAAAAAAGTTGTCTGGAAGATTCCCTGGGTGACGGTCAGGAGAGGGAGGTGGGGAAGCACAGAGACCCTCCTTGCCCCCCGGGCGACTTGGTACCTGTCCAGCCTCTGCCCGGTGCTCCTCCCCACTGCAGGCAGACCCTCGCCCCTTCCTGTTCCTCGGTGCATTTGCTCCTGTGCTCATCTGGTAACTTGGGGTCTCTCATCTGAAAGAGAAAGTAAAATGACAGCAGCAAAAGCTTCTCAGTCCTCTGTTTGGCTCTTGTGCCTTTCTCGTCGTTTAAGAAAGGCTCCCTCCAGCAGAGCCCATCTGACCTCGGGCTCCCTGATCAGCCTCCCATCTGCCGGACACTGGCCAGACCCAGCAGGCCCTCTCAGTCCGTTTTCTCCGGCCACCAGCCAGGCTGTGGCTTCTGACACTGCTGGGCCTTTGACTAGACCGGCACCCTCTGCTTTGGCTCCGTTGTTGCTGCTGAGGATTCTGGGCTTGGGTTTTCTGTCCTTGCTGTGCACATCTGTGAGCCACACTGCGGATGATGTTGCTTACTTCCTGTCTCAGCCGCCACTTCCATGCTGTCTCCCGCACGCGGTCGAACACAGATTTCAGTGTCAGCTCCAGACCCCTTCTCCAGCATCACCTGAATCTGTATCTCTGTGCGGGTCAAAGGCACCATTTCCACCCAGTCACCCTCACTGTTCTCCTTTATGCCCCTGTTGCTCTGCATGGTTTCTCTAGCACCTGTGCCCATGAAGCAAAACCAAGCTTTAAAAATCCTTTGCCAAAAGCTTACGTTAAACAGGATCACAGCGATCACACATTCCACACACTATTTGGCTCAGCGTTTCTCAGTGAGGGAGGGACATGTGCTGTTGGCCTCTTGGATAGGAAATGTTTTGTTCGACGGGACTGTCTCATGCGTGGCTGGACACTTCTGCCTGACCTCTGCCAACTAAATGCTGGTGGAGGGGTTCTCCCCACAGGTGTGTGAGAGACCCAGGGGCACTGCTGCACCATTCCTAGCCTCTTCCTGGGGTGGGAGCTGTGTCGCCTAGGTCGAAAAGCTCCAAGACAGCCATCTAAATGTAGTTGGATAGGGACCAAGGAGGAAGTTTCAGGTACATGTGAAAATGTGGCACTTTGTTTCTTAGGATGTTAAAGTGTATGCAAGTGCTAGGACTACATTGGGCATGAGACCATCTTTTCCTCATGTGGAGTTACAAAATGTAAGCTGTTCATGTGGTCATGCTTGGTGTTCCTACCCAGAGGAAGCAGGGTCGTGTCAGGAGTTGAGCTCCCTCTTGGTGCTTGTGTCCCAGGAGGAAGAGCGCCGCGTTTGCTAAGGGGTGGCTGGGGAATGGGCCTGCGCAGAGACAGGAAGGAAGAGTGGGGCTTGCCAGGGCGCCCTCTGCAGGTGGGGAAGGGGATGGTATTTTCCAGGGAGAGGGACTCACGCATACAAAGGCGTAGAGGCAGAAGAAAATCCGCGTCACGCTGAGTGAACTCTGGTGACCCCAGGTGACTGGAGCATGGTTTTGCAAGATGCAGAGACTTCTAGAAATGGATGTTGGTGACAGTCGCACACCGGTATGAATGTACTTAATGCTGCTGATCTGTCCAGCTAAAGATGGTTTAGACTGTAAGTTTTCCCCTGTGTGTATTTTACCACAATAAAAAAAAAATTGCTAGGAGCATGAAGGGGAAAGGAGAGAGTGGTGGGAGTTGGGGGAAAGGAGGGCTGTAGAGAGGAGCTGGGCCGAGTAGGGCCCAGGTCCTCAGTCCTCAGAGCATGTGCTGAGCTGCCCCAGGGCGCCATAATGCCCTCCCAGGGCACCGTGGGATACTGGACATTTTTTGAGGGAAAAGCTATGATACCAACCGGCAGTGGGGATACCTCCAAGTAGTTTACAGTTTTATTATTCAGTCGCCCTCCATTAGTTTCGGTGACAATGGAGAAAAAGCTGGGCTGTTGCCAGTTGCTGTGAGGAGGTAGTGCTCTGCAAGAGAACTGTCTGGAGAACAGCTCCTGAGGGTGGTGGTGTTTTTTTTTTTTTCCCCAAAGACTTTTTATTTATTCATTTATTTATTTATTTATTTGTCAGAGAGAGGGAGAAAGCACAAGCAGGCAGTGTGGCAGGCAGAGGCAGAGGGAGAAGCAGGCTCCCTGCTGAGCAGGGACCGGATCCGAAGACCCTGGGATCATGAACCGAGCTGAAGGCAGAGGCTTAACCCACTGAGCCACCCAGGCGTCCCAAGGGTGACGGTGTCTTAAGAAATGGTGCAGCACCCAACAGGCACACACGTCCTTGGAGGAATTTTTTGATTTACGGGAGTTATTATTTTTTTAGATGGCTACTTAGGGCATAAATACTAAGTTTCGATCTAATTACTTGACCCAGTGGAACTGGTAAGGATTTCTTTCAGCCCAGAGCCCTAGGGAAGAATTGCTCCCTCACAGAAATGCCCTGTGGATGGAGCACTTCAGGGAAGCTCTGGGCCAGACGAGACGGCTTCCTGTGATTGTCAGTTCACAGGCAGCGGCAACCCAGGGAAGAGCCGCGAGTGCTGCCGCCAGAAGGAAGCCGGCCTGGGGTGTTTGGGAGCGGGGAGCCTTCCGGATTGGAGGCTGGGAGGCTTGTCGGGGGGCCATTGGCGGCGTTGTGTGGGGTGGTGAGGAGAAAGGCCTGATGAGGCAGCTGTTGTTGGGGTGGTAGAGAGGACAGGACGTGGTGGCAGAGCATGCAGGAGTGGGAAAAGGAGTACAGGGTGCTCCCGGCCGTGTGGCTTGGGTCCTGGGCTGCCATGGTGCCGGACAGCAAGGCGGGAGGCTCTGAAGGGAGGGGGACAGGGCAAAGGTGCGAGAGGCTGATGGACTCAGTCTGGGACCGGCTCTGGCTGATGCACGTCTAGGAGAGCTGGGTCTGGGCCACTGCGGGAAGGCTGGGTCAGAGACAGAGACGGCTGGAGCAGCCCGCAGGAGGTCACCCGAGCCCGGGGCTGTGGATGCAGGGCGACCAAGTGAAGGCCTGTGTGTTTGCATCCGTGTCTCTCTAGTGGGGACAGAAGACCAAGTTGAAGGCTCTGGGGGGCCTCGGGGTTCAAGGAGAGGAGGAGACTGAAGAGGAGCCGCAAGAGCAGCAGGAGGCGGCAAGACCGTGCGGGGCTCCTGGCAAGAGATGCCGCGTGGGTGCCCGTAGGGTGATCTGACACAGGTGGTCTGTGCCGTAGAGGTTACCGTCGACCTTGACAGAGCAGTTGCTAGTGGTCGGGGCTGGAGGCCAGATCGGGGTGTTGGGAGCTCGGAACGCCAGGGGAGGCCACAGGGGCTGGTGCATCCATGCTGTGTCGCGGAGCTTGATGGCAACAGAGTGCCAGGGCCGGGAGGGGCCGTCGGCTCCAGCAAGGGATGGGCTAATTTGGTCTTGGGGTTCTTTTGTGTTTAATGGGAATGAGTTGAACTTGTTTCTGTGCTTCTGGGAGGGATCAGTGGAACAGGAGGGGTTAACGATGCAGTAAAGAATCCATAATTGATGTCTTGATGGGACACGGTCCTCGGGTCCTCGAGGAGCCAGAAAGGAAGGCGTGGAGAGCTGAGCCCCGGGTACGAGAAAGAAGTGCAGGTACGGAACAGGGATGGCTGTGGGGAGGGGCAGGAAGGACGCTGACTGCTGAGGATCGCCTCTACCGGGCCAGCCCGGAAACAAGGTTATTGTTCGGGAGAGCATGAGGGGCGGGGCCGCCGCGAGGCAGAGGGGACGAGGCGGGAGACCGGCTGGCAGGCTTCTTGCTGCCTCTGCGTCCCTTCGTTCCTCTGGTGTGGAAAATCAGGAGGTCCCAGTATAGCTTCATAGGACTTTTACCATATTATAATTTGCATTGCCTCTTAGTGTGTTAGCCAAATAATTGCAGTATTGAATACAACTTTGACTTTGTTTAACTGATTCTTCTCTTCATTTTTAGTTAGAAATACTGTGTTCTGTCAACATCCTGCAGTTTATATTCATTGCCTTAAGACTGGACAAGATCATCCACTGGCCCTGGCTTGTATGTAACTTTTTAAATCCTTAAATAAACTTTTCTTTTTTTTAATTATAAAAGTAATTTGTGTTCATTGTAGAAAAGTTGGAAAAGACAGGCTTGGGTAACGGAATGATAATCCCCCATAACCCACGGGGAGAGAGCGCGGCTAGTGTGCGGGGTTCCCTGTGCTGGACGTTACCGCTTCTGGAGGGCAGCTGAGCCCGCACCGTGTGTGCACCGCTATGGGTGCTGCTCTCTCATCCTGACACATCCTGAGCAGCTTCCCCCGGCAAACAAAGGGTCCTTGTAAGCATAACTTTTAAGGTTTAATTGATGCAATATTTTTCCAATGCATTTACTAAGCCGTCCCCTTCCAAATATTGAAGTTGATACTAGTGTAATTATAAATCATGATGTAACATATATTTTTGTGCCTAAAAATCTTTGCCTGATTTTTTTCATTGTTTTCTTAGGAAAGACTCCAGAGATAGTATTACTGGGCCAGAGGGTGGGAACTTTTTGAGATTTTGAAAGACAGACTGCACTCCCAACTTGCTTTCTAAAATAGTTGTGCCACTGTACCCTCATGCAGAGGGCGAGGTCTAAGTCCTGCTCAGAGCCTGTGGCTTCAGTTCCTGCGCGTTTGGTTGAAATTGGCTGCATAGATGGATAGAGGGGGGTGGTGGCTAGAGGTATGTACATGGCAGGTTGTGGCCAGAGAAGCCAGCAGCACTTGCACTCCCGCCACAAATGCCTAGAAGGCAGGTGAGAACCAACACAGAGGAGGTGCGTGGGCTCTCAGAGGGGGTCGTGTTGCGGTTTGGGTTTCCCCCCTTGCTGCTTGATATGTACTTTTGCATATAAGACATTTTCTGTTATGAACATGGTTTACCATTTAAAAAAAAGGACCAAGTATAGCAAAAAGAGAAGATATTCATTTGGTGACAGGGAAGAAAATAAAGGAACATAGTCACCGCCATAATAAATGAAGGCAGAACTCATCACCTCTTCCCAAAGTCTTTGATAAAACAGCCATAATACAAAGTGTTTGGGTACCTGCCTTCCATCTTTAGGGTGCTATATCTGGAGAGGGGTAATTGGGTACAGCATTTTCTGTTGTCATGTGAAGGAAACTAATCTGAGTAAGACCAGCATTTTAGTATAAGGTGCAATCAGAAAAAAAAGGTGAGGAATTATGAATGTTTTCTGTAGGTGAGCAGAGAGATTTTTCCAGCCTCAGTCCTGGGCAGGCCCCAGCAGATGGAACAGTCTGATGGCATGCTTCTTGCAGTGATCAGGAGAGAGCGAGGGAGGCCACTATGATCGGTGGTGGGGGTGGGGGGGTGCTAAGTGAGCGCTGCTAAATGAGGGGCACAGGGAAGAGACCCTCTATAGACTGTACAGCAAAACCTACCATCAGGAACTCCAGGCTACTTGGGAGGTTTAACAAGTACACACCAACTCAAGTCATAGGTCTCAAAACAAAATAGAAAACCAAAGAACTGGCTGAAGAAAACATAGGAGAAAATCTTTGGGAACCTGGAGTTAGATGAGGAATCCCTACAAGTGGCACTAACAATAAGGTCCATAAAAGAAGCTTAGAATTGAAATGAGAAGAATGAAAAGACAGGCCACAGAGTAAGAGAAAATATTCGCAAAGCACGTGTCCAAACGAGGAGGACTTGTATCCAAAACATCTGAACTCTCAAAAAACAAACAACCTAATTTTAAAATTGACTGAAGACTTGAAAAGACAATTCACAAAGAGGATATACATATGGCAAATAAGTGCACGGACAGGACGTCATTACCCAGTAGGGAAAGGCAAAGCAAGGTCAAGATGAGGTCCTGCGAGATGCTCATCAGAAGCAGAGCTTACATAGGATGCAGGGCACAGAGGAGGGTGGGAAGGGATGGGGACACTCACACATCACTGGTGGGGATGCCGAGTTGGAGAGGCACTTGGAGAATTAGTATGGCCATTTCATGTGAAGTTAAGCACAGAGTGGACATAGGATTTCGCAGTGCCGGTCCGGGGTGTATCCCCTAGAGGAATGACGCTGTCCGGCCACACGAAAACCCACGCCTGAGTGTTGGTGGCAGCTTTAGTTGGGACAGCCAAAAGCGGGAAAGCACCCAGATTTCCTTCCGCGGGTACTGGACACACAGGCAGTGGTGCCCCCACCCTCTGGAACGTGGTGGTGGGGCCGTAAAGAGAAGCAGCCTGTGGTCACGCACGGCAAGGGGGAGGAACGTCACAGGCCCTGTAGACCAGAGCAGGCCGTCTCGGGAGGCAGCACTGTGCGATCCTCTGGGGACAACACAGCGTAGTGAGAGGCGTCAGTGGGTGCCAGGCGTTGGGGGTGGGGTGAGGGGATGATGCCGTGTCGGACGGCACAAGGGAGTCCTGTGGGTGAAGCGGCTGTCCTGTGTCCTGCCTGGGGACACACAGCTCTGCACATGCGTGTGTGAAAGGTCATAGACGTGCACCAAGAGGAGAGTCAGCTTACTGTTAGATAACGAGACAGAGGGGTGCCGGACAGACCCATGGGGCAGCCCAAGAGGGAGAAAGATTACACAGGGGAGCCAGGGAGGCCCCAGGGCTTCTCCGGTGTGCTCGTGTGGGGGCGAAGCAAGGTGTTTCTGGTGCGACAGCAGCAGGTGTGGAAGTCGCACAGGCGCGGTGGCTGGGACCGGGCAGCAAAGCCCTCGAAGTGTCCATGCGCGTGTGAGTGGAGGGCAGCCTCGGCCGGGGTGGCCAACAGCCGCCGAGAGGGGGTGTCAGGGTAAGGTGGGGTGAGTGCGCGGGGTGGGGGCGCAGGCCGCCCTGTTTCCCTTGCGGTAGAGCCAGGTGCAGGCTGAGTGAGGTCCTGTCCCAGGAGGACAGCTGCCAGGCTCTTCATCCTGAGAGTGTCCCGGAGCAGGTGGTGGCCCCAGGCCATCCTTGGTGCTGTCCTGAGGGCTGTGGGGCGTCGGTCCTCGTTCGCACAGGCACCGTCTTAATTGCAGGCATCTGCCGAGGGCGTGGCCGTGCCTGCCTTCAGGTGCTGGGCGCGGAACCTTCAGACTTGGTTCTCTCCTCCTTCCCTCAGGTCGTGTGTGTCCCTCTGTGGATTCTCATGTCCTTTCTGTGCCTGGTGGTCCTCTATTACATCGTGTGGTCTGTCCTGTTCCTGCGCTCCATGGATGTGATTGCAGAACAGCGAAGGACGCACATAACAATGGCACTGAGCTGGATGACCATCGTCGTGCCTCTCCTTACTTTTGAGGTGAGCTTCCGGCAGCAGAGGTCTTCAGGCCCTGAAGCCACCCTACCCTGCGACGGCCTTCCGAGGGCCTGGGAGCCACAGCTCGGGAGAGGGTGGAGGGGTGGAGGGGTGGGGGAGAATTAGAGCAGCCTGTGTTTGGGGCGGGGTGAGAAGTAGTCCTGTAGCCCTCGTGCAGCCTGCAGCGGCGTGTGTGGGCGGGTTTGCCTCCGGGAGGAGGGGCTTGCTGGGTTCTCGTGTTGAGTTCCCTTAGAGGCGGACTTGGCCGGCAGGGTCGCCTCTAGAAGGAACCCCACCCAGCAGGAGCTTCCCGTAACCGTCCTGGTGTTGGAAACTTCCCGAGTGCGCAGAGTTTGCTTCATCCTGAAGTGGGTCAAGTTTGTTTTGTGCTCCCCCCAGAATAGAGGGTTTCTCTCGTCTCCTGTGGAACTGACCTTCCCTCTCATGAGACCCGACGAGGGAAGGGTGGACTGGCCTCAGACGGTGTCCGTCCTCAGATGCCTCATCAACAAAACCTCAGCTATTTCTCTTTCTTTAGATCCTGTTGGTTCACAAACTGGACGGCCACAACGCGTTCTCTTGTATCCCGATATTTGTCCCTCTCTGGCTTTCCTTGATCACTCTGATGGCAACCACATTTGGACAGAAGGGAGGAAACCACTGTACGTACTCAGCACTTCAGAAGCCCTTGACCTGTGTGTGTGTGTGTGTGTGTGTCTGTGTGTGTCTGTGTGCCTGTGGCCCCAGTCTATGACAGGATGAGCCTGAGGGTCCCAGTTAAGGATGTTGCCCAAGGAAGGCCTGGAACCTTCCAAGGGAGGGGTGAGCTGTCAACCTCGCTCTCCCTGCCCTGCACTGTGACCTCCCTAGTAGTGTACTCTGCCATCTGAGGTAGGGCTGACCGTGGCGGGTAGCTGCCCAGACCTGTCCCCCCTGCTGCAGAGTGAGCGTCAGGACACCTGCTTCCTGGGGTCTCCCAAGGATTAGATAAAAATTCACATTGCCCACCAAACCCCAGGAGTGCTCTTACGGTCTGCGTCCTGCTGGCTCTCCCCCGGGACATTGTGGACATCACTATGGCTTGTCAGTGGTGCCCTGCTTGCCCTCTCTTCTCTTCACCTGCGTGACAGCATATTCGGTTTTGAAGTGATCTTTCCTTCCTCACTAGACTGTAAGCTCCTTTGCAGGTAGCCCGAGCATGCCATTCTGGAAGCCAGGGAGCTGGAGGGGGGTTGTGCCCTGGGAGAGCCAGCACTGAGCTGATGGTCCTATGGTAGAGAGAGCAGGAGCAGGCCTCAGAGAAGGAGCTTTGCAGGGCCCTGTGAGCTCAGGCTGCCTGCTGGCCTGGACCAGCGTGCCTGCCAGATGCTGACAGAAGCCCCTTTTTTGGTTGCCATTCTTGCCATTCTTTGTCCTGTGTGAGCATGTCCAGTGGGGAAGACGACAGGAGGCTGATGTGGTTTTGTTGCCGCAGGTATCCATCCGAGACGTACTGGAGCCATCCCATCACTGGAGCCCCGTCAGAGGGCCCGGGAGGCCTGTGCCTCCCGGGCCCTCTGACGGGGGCCCCGGAGGAGGGCACCCCCCTCCCCTGATCTCTGGCAAGGTCACAGTGCTCCCTGGGGTCGCGGCCCATGTGGGAAGCCCACTCAGAGAGCCAGGGAGCCACAGGCCTTTCTTCTTCCCTCAGTGGGTATCAGGCTTCGCTCGATCTTCATTGCTAAGGCAGCAGGAGAAAGCGTTACGTTGTACGAGCAAAACTTCACACTCAGGAAAGGAAAGTGACAGGAGAGTCAGTGGAGGCCAGTGTTTGAAAAAGTGCATCCTTCCTTTTCAGGGTGGTTTGGTATTCGCAAGGATTTCTGTCAGTTTCTGCTTGAAATCTTCCCATTTTTGAGAGAATATGGAAACATTTCCTACGACCTCCATCATGAAGATAATGAGGAAACGGAAGAAACCCCAGTTCCAGAACCTCCTAAAATTGCTCCAATGTTTCGGAAGAAGACCAGGGTGGTCATCACCCAGAGCCCTGGGAAGTATGTCCTCCCACCTCCCAAATTAAATATTGAAATGCCAGATTAGACACACTCCCTCGAACAGAATGCAAGTGGACCGGGACGCACGCTGTCTTCTACCCTCCTCTGCCTCTCCGTTTACCCCACCCAGAACTGGAACTGGAGCGGGGGCTCCAGGGACTTCCATCTCATGCCTTGTTTGCACTCAATGCCTACCAGTGACTCACCATGACGGGACACACACAGGGCAGGGGACGGGCGTGCGCAGTGTGGGCTGGGGGGGGGTGTTGTCAGCGGCTGTGGGTGTGATGGGGGGACCACAGGTGAGAAGGAGAAAGTGATCCCCTCTGGGCAGGCGCCTCAGGAGCTGGCTTGGCTCTGTTACGGATGGCTGATGAGGCCAGAGAAGGAACTGGTTTTCAAAGTGCTAAAATTCCCATCAAAAGTGTTCTTTGAAAATGTTTCTTTAAACCAGCCTGGCCTCACCACATAGCTTCGCGTCTGCCATTGGGGTGCAGTCAGTGGGTGCTGTCGCGGAAGCTCCGAGGCCCCTTGCGCCTGCAGCGCCCTTTCTGTGTAGCTCCTGCGGGGGGCGCTTTCTCCCCAGGCAGCGCCGACAGCAGTTTTTAATGGCCCCATTGCTGAGCCCTTTCTAATGGAGTGACTCCGTGCCTGTATAGTATTTATACAAATATTTTAGCATTGTAATATACCGTGTCAAATCCCAGTTCTGTACAGTATATTCTGTTAAAGTATTTTTTTACGAGCTTGTATTGGAGACATAAGGTGTTCTGTTGCGGAAGTAGAAGTTGCTGGCACACCTGTCCCGCCCAGGGGCGCGATGCCATCAGGGCACATCATCATTTCCCCCTTGAGATCCGTACAGTTGCTGCTACCGCCAGAACAGCCACAAAAAGCAAGAAATGGTCTGGGCTTTGCCTATGTCCTGGGAGTACCGGCTGTCAGACAACAATCACACGTGACCTGAAACTAGAGATGCGGGACAGAGTGGCTGAGACTGGGAACAGCCACTGGAAGGGGGAATTATTAAGGTCTGAGGCCTTGTGTCTGCCCTTGACAGAAGCCCTTCCTGCTGGTCCCAGACCTTTCTTGAGGAGAACAGTGGCTCCCAGAGTGGCGAGGTTGCGGGGTGAGCCCTGAGTCAAGGCAGAAGCAAGCGGCCCTCCAGGCTAAGAGCCTCCGGGAAAACAAGCAGCCCTTTGTTCCGGGAGGGAAAAGGAGCACCAACGTTCTCACCCAGGGCGAGAGGGAAGGGTTCGACATGTGCAGCTGCTGCCGTGGCTGAACCGGGCTCAACGGGTGTCCAGCACACACGTGTGCGTGAGACCACCTGGCACGGGCTCCCGCAAGCCTGTGCTCTCTGAGGTAGAGGGAACGCTCGGGATGGCAAAGCCTTACCTGCTTGGTGTGGAACAAATGTAGCGCAATCCACTATTTTTCCTCCCTGCAGCTGTTCAATAAACTGGTTCCTCCTTTTCCATGGTACCGTGTGCATCTGACTTTAGATGTGGTTCAGGCCACAGGGATGCTCTCAGCCCACAGGGAAATATCCTCTAGCGGCTAAGGGGGGCCGGGGTGCAGGGGGGGCGAGTGAACATCTCTAACGCACATGCAGGGACAGCCTGAACACGGAGCATGTGGAAGGAAAGACGGACACCCTGGAGCCTCGACCAGTGGCCTGGGACACCCCTGCCGACACCGCGACAGCTCAGGAGCCTCACGACACTACTCTTGAGCCCCAGGCCAGTCTGAACCCGTGACGGGCCCTTGTCGTGGTCCCGAGGCAGCGCCCGGTTATGAGAGCCCCTGGTGCTGCTCCCGCCTACATCGGTTGCCCTGGGTCCTCTGTCTAGCGGCCCCGGCTGTCTCGGCATTTTCCCGGGCACTCAGCTCGGGTGGCATTTCAGCCCGCGGTTTGTACCTGCTGGGGATGGAGTGAGGCCCCGCGGGGAGCCCCAGGCCACAGACTCTATGTCCTACTTGCTGCTAGACAAAATAGCCTCCAGTCTGGCGGTGTCTCTGCTGCGTGGAAATCTCTGGAAACTCACTGAGTTCCACGCCCACAATCGAGTTGGGGAGGGAGTGCTTGGGGGGAGGTGGGCCTGCACGTGGGGAGAATGTGCTAGAAGGCTTCTCTGTATGGCCCCCTCTTCTGGATCCTCCAGGCCCAGAGCCCAGAGAAGGATCCCGGAGTTCAAACCCTGGCCACCAAACAGGACGGGTGTCCCTGCCATCGTCAGTGGAGGAAAGAAAAGGAAGCCAGCCGGTGTGAAGCCAGCAGCCCCGGGCCTGCCCCACAGTCTGCCTGGGAGGTGGTGGCAGGGTGCGGAGGGGGGCACTTGCAGGCTGAGGAGAGGCAAGGAAGGAGAAGGCCTCCTCCTCCCCTCCTCCTCCTCCCACCACCACTCCCCTCCTCCTCTTCCTCCTCCTCCTCCTCCTCCTCCTCCTCCTCCATCTGCAGGGTGGTGGTGGGACACCTGGCTAACCTGTTCACCTAAGCAGCCATCGGCCATGTGGCCTCTGGGGACCCACAGCGTGGGTGGACTAGGAGGGTCTCCGAGGAGGACCTCAGCACCCTGTTGGGATGATGCTAAAAGGCCCGCGTGGCCCGCACCCTTGACCGTGGACGCCCGCCCCAGCCTCTGCTCCCTGCTTGAAAGCGTGCGTCCCGTTAGGGACTCTCGAGACCCAAGGGCCCGGAGAACGACCTCTGACCTCTTGAAGGACGCAGGCCAGTGGAGGTCAGCCAGCACCCGGGGAGATAGGTGCGGGATGGAAGGACAGTTTGGGGCTGGCCCCGGATGTTGGGTGCGTTACTTTAAAGCCACAGACGAGGGTCCCCTTGCCCAGGGAAGGACCGGGTGTGACCAGAAGGTTGGCATGCCGACAGGTCACTCGTGTGGCTGGCCCTTTATCAGGTCACTGGCTGGCTGGCTTGTGATGTCACCCCCCAAGTAACCAGAGCCCCTTTGTGATGTCCCCGGGCCACCCTGTTATCAAGGGGTGCGGCCGGCCATGCTGCACTCGCAGGTCTACAGGAAGGAGGGACGTGCCGGAGCAGAGGATGGCCAGCAAGGAGAAGCCGGGTCCGCTGGGCCCGGCGCGGGGCTTAGGGCCGCCGCTCTCCCCTCCAGAAGCTGGGGCTCCTGCCCCCGCCGGGGGCTCGGAGAGCAGCGCTCCTCCAGCACAGCCTCCCCTCACCCTGGTGCAGCCCGTGTCCCCTGGGGACCCCGGCTTCAGGCTGCTGCTGGAGGAAAACGCTTTCCAGGCCTTGACCCAAGAGCCTCTGCTCAAAAGGCCACGCACCTCCCAGGACGCCCTGTCGGTGGGAGAAGGCAGCCTCCTCTGCCTGCCCTTTCCCAAGAAGCTGTGGGCCATCGTCAACAGCACCCAGTTTGCGTCCATTTGGTGGGCCAAGGATGGCACCTGCATAGGCATCAACGAGAAGCTGTTTCAGAAGGAGGTTTTGGAGAGGGAGGGTCCGGACAAAGTGTTCGAAACAGACTGTATGAAGAGTTTTGTCCGCCAGCTCAACCTGTATGGGTTCAGCAAACTGCACCGGGACGTCCACACATCCATCTGCCTTACCAGCTTTCTCACCGGAGGGGCCCCTGTCCACGTCCTGGGCAAGGTAACGGGGGCCGAGCTGCCAGGCTCTGGGGTGCTGGGGTCGGCGGGGGGGAGGGAGCCCCCGGGGCCGCCTCCTGGGCATCGGGGGCATCTGACCTCCCTCTGGGCGGTGGGGTCGGCGACCGAGACCCACTGTGGGGAAAGTGCCCAGGATGGCGCCAAGGGTGTCGGGGGTGCCTTCTTCAAGGACCCGCGCGATGGGCGCGCTGCCGACCCGGGCGGACACTCAGTTGGGGGCGGCGGCACTGGGAATTGGTAAGAGAGTAGACGCTCAGAGCTCTCCTCACAAGGGAGAAACGGTCTTCTCCTTTTTTTTCCCCTTCTTTCTTCTGCGACCCTCCCCTCAGCCCCCCGCTTTTCCCGTTTCTCTAGGTTTGTGTCTTTTGGTTGGGTGTGTCTGTGAGGCGATGGGCATCCGGGGATGGCCACACGTGAGGGAAGTCGTTGCTCTGGGCACGCCCAACGGCGCGCTGCCTGCCCGGCCCGTGCCCGAAACCTCTGCAAACACTGGATCCTCCCGCCCTGCTGCTCGGGGGGGGGTGGGGGACCCCCACATCACCAGGGGCTGTGAGCGGGCCCACGCGGGGCTCCCGCAGCTCTCAGCCATCGCTGAGGCGGGTGGACGGACCCCCTTCGTGAACTAGCGGTGTCCCTGGGCGTCTGGGGGCTGTGCTGCCCCAATGCCCTTTGGAAGCCTGTGGAGGGCTGAACGAGTGGGCGTGCTTCCCAAGCCCAGCGGGCCCCTGGACGCCCAGAGCCGGGGACTCCCAGCCAGGGCGCGCTTCTGCGGCCGGCGGACCTTGGCTCGGACAGCCGCCCAGTCTCCCGCCCCCGTCTGCCAATTCTGAGCCTCCCTCCCTTGGACTCCAAGCCCCCCTCCTTTGGACGTGGATGCTGACCCAGTAGGCCCCTTGGAGCCTTGGCCCCAGGGGCCGTGGGTGTCCTAAGTGACCGAGGGCGGACGGTGGGAAAGCGAGCACACGGCTTCCTGCCGGGACCGGGACCTTCCCCCGAGAGGCCTCGGGCCTACGGCTGCCTCCGACCGCAGAGCGGCCCCGATCCGGCTGCCGCTTGCGATCAACTCTGTTGTGACACGGACTCTCTTGTCCTCTTTCCGTTTTGCCCCGCAGTTACAGTTCTACAGGAGCCCCTTCTTCAAGAGAGACTGTCCTCACCTGCTCCTGAGGATGAAGAGGAGAGTGGCCGTGAAATCCACAGGAAGGCAGATGGAAAGCGAGCCCGAGCCCGACACCCTGGGCGTCCCCCCGGCGGCACCGAGGCCCGGCCTGCGACACGAGGGAGTCCTGTCCCCTGCCGGGGACCCGCCGGAGCCAGAGAGCAGCCCACAGGGCGAGGGCCCCACCATCCGGGTCAGGAGCGAGTCGGCCCCTCCTGCCATTCTCGGCGCGGTGGCCAGGACCACCGTGCCCGACACCCACGCCGCAGCAGGCCGGCCCGTGGACGGCCAGCCCCAGGGTGCCCAGGCGCCCATGCCCATCGCGCCGGACGTGGCCCAGCCCGCGACCTTCCCCTGGGTCTCCGTCACCCTGCCTCCCGCGCAGATACACCCTTACGCGTCGGTGCTGGGCCTCGCCCCCGGGCCCCCCGTGCTCCTCCCCGTGCCCACCGTGCAGCTCCCCGTGGCTGGGCTGCTGCCGCTCTACCACCCCTGGGTGCCCGGCGTGGCCGCTGTGCCTGGCGTGGCTGCCGGACCCGTCACCCCCGTGACCGTGACCCCTCACCCCCCCGAGCCCCTTCCACTGCTGTCCCGACTGCCGCTGTTTCCCCGAGTACCTGCCACTGACCGCTTGGCCCCCCGATTACCGCCCCTAGGCACACCACCGCAGCTAGGGGCCGTCTGGTTGTCGGAAAT